TGCCGGGCTCAGCGGGGCGGCGGCTGGGAAAGCTGGGGAAGAGTAAGGCCAGGGAGAGGAGTTGAGAGAGTAGGGCAAAGTCTGGGAAAGACCCCGCGGGCAATGTGCAGGGGGGAGGCCCCAGGGCCGCCGTTTGGCCAGCTGGTCGCAGGGCTGCCCCTGTTTGCCCAGTGCGGCGGCTGCGGGGGAGTATCCCCTCCACGAGGGGTGGAATGCGAAAGTGGAGTGGGACTGGCTGAGGTGGACCGGGCAAAGACGGGGGTCGACCCGTCGGAGCTGGGGTACGCGCACTGACTGCTCACACCCTCAGTGGGAGCTGATAGCAGGGAGGGGCTGGAGCCCAGCTGCCCCTCTCTTGCCAGGGAAACGATCTTTTCCACAACGATAACGACCCTCTTTCACGAAGTTAGGGGCAGGAGAGAGGGAGAGACAGCAGTTCTCCCCAGGCTGGGCGCCGCACTCGCGACTTGCCTGCCCCTCGGTCTCCGGCGGCCCCGGGGGGACGAGCCTGTCCCGGGGGACACTAGAAGTCACCAAGAATTTCTTGTCCTCAGAAACTTACACTTCACAAAAGTAAAGCTCTCCCCCGATCCAGCCTTCAATGTGTATTTTGTTTTGTTTTGTTTCTTTGTTTGTTTTTAATGCCAGTCTGCAGAATGGTAATTGGAAAACCTCTATGCCCACCCTTTCTCTCTGGAATTGGGTTGCTGGGATTTTTTTGCCGTTTGATTTTTTTTTCCTTTTCTTTTCCCACTCCAGCTCCTTCTCAAAGATGCCCTTCCTTTCTCTCTCTCTTTTTTTCTCCCTTCATCCCATCCCAAAAACTCAGCTTTTGCTTAAGACAAAAGGACAAGGAAAAAACCAAACAACCCAACTCCTATACATGCAAACAGACCTTTCTTGGAGGGAAGTAAAACAAACAAAAAACTTCTACCTGCAACAGAAGAGAGGGTACAAAATTTCACACACACGCACACGCACACACCGGTCCCGTATCTAATACAGCTGTAACTAATTGAAAATTGAGGAAAGAGATGTGTTTTCCACGTGGGAACATAGTAACTAAGGTGCAGTGGGCGGTCGGGTAGGCAGGACACGTCGTTCCTGCTCATCACGCGTGGAATCGTTTCCTTCAGCTGGGATGGGTGTTTGTGCAGATCTCGTAGAGGTGCAGGAGACAAATCTTCGGCTCTCGTATATCACAAAAGCACGATGCGTTGGATGGAACATACGTATTAATCAACTTTCTCCCTCTCCCTCCCTAGTTTTATTTGTTTCTCTTGGTTGCGGGACCTAGATGGTCAAAAACAAACAAAAGCACTTGCGTTTGTGTCGGCACTTTGTCGTCGGGGCAGCACACGCGCGTTAGATTATTGCCAGGGATTTATTTGCATGCAGCTGCAAACCCACAAGCCGGCTGCTGACCGCTGCGCATAAAGGGCTGCCGGG